CCCCTCCATTCAGTCCCTTCCCACCCCCACCCCCGTCCCCAACGGAAACTGCCTTACAGAAACGTGCTCCCTCTGTGCTCCTTTCCAGTAACCTACTACTCTTAGAATGGTGGTGACTATTCTGACTTTTAATACCATAGATTAGCTTTGCCCTGCTTTTTAAGTTTATTTTAATGTTGTTCAGCCACTCACTTGTGTCTGACTCTTTGCAACCCCATGGCATATGTTTTGAAATGGAAACCCACTCTAGTATTCTTGCCTGGGAAATCCCGCGGGCAGAGGAGCCTGGTGGGCTACTGTCCATGGGGTCGCAAAGAGTTGGGACACCACTGAGCAACAAACACATACTAAATATATTCTTTTGTGTTTGGTTTCTTTTGTTCCATATTCAATAATTTATATGTCCATGTTTCTGTTGACTTGGCATTTGAATAGAGTCCAGTTTAGGGTTCTGCTTTGTGGTTGCTCCCTGGAGGGTGGCATCCATGCTTCCACCCAACCAAAATTGGTTTGGAGCTGGCGATTAATGATGCAATACACTCACAAGAGGATCTGAAAGATTAATCACACAGTAAAGCTTTCTGGGGACAGCAGGGTCCATACTCAAACCAGCATGTTTGGCTTGAGCAGAAGAGGCAAGTGGCTCTAGTTTTTACAGTGGGTGGAGAGAGGGGGATCAAGGATGAATACACCCTCTCCCACTGGCTGGAGTTTTAGTCTTCCCTTGCTACTCATGCCAAGGAAGCAAGTATCTAGCTTTTCTTATTGGCATGTCCAGGAGTGGAGTGAAAAGGAAAAGAGGAATGATGGGGCTTGCAGGCTATCATGGTCAAACATCAAAAATGGAATCGGACTTTCTTTTATGGTTATTATAAGTAGCACTGCTGTAACATTCTTGTACAAGCCTTCTGGCAAACATACCACACATTTCTAACGGCTGGGTGTCTCTAGGACGGCAACTGCTGGGGAATATGTTTGTCTTGGGTAAATACTGCCAAACAGTTTTTCAAAGTGATTATACCAAATTACGATCCCTTCAACAATATTTATGGCTGTACCAGTTTGTTTATCCACTCTGCAGCTGAGGGACATTTGGTTTGTTCCCATTTTGGAGGGGTGGGGGGGATTACAAATAAAGCTGCTGCAAACATTCATATGCCGGTTTTGGGGTAAACACAGGTTTTCATTTCTTTTGGTTAAAAACTAGGAATGGGACAGCTGGACTGTATGGTAGGTCTATGTTGTGTTCTGTGAGAAACCAGGCAGACTGTTTTCCAAAGTGGCTGTACCATTTTGCACCTCCACAAGCAAAGTACGTGAGTTCACACTGCTCCACAATCTCCTGAGTACTCAAATTGGTCAGTCTTTACTTTTAGTTATTCTATTAAGTGTGGAGCAGTATTTAATTGTGGTATTGAGTTATATTTCCTTAAGAACTAATGACATTGAACATATATGGATGACTATATATTGCCATCCATATATGTCCTTTGGTGAAGTGTCTTTTCAAATCTTTTGTCCATTTTTAAAGCTGAGCTGTTTTCTTACCATTGAGTACAGCGGGCTCTCTGTTTATCTTGGATACAAGTTCTTTATCAGGCAGATGGTTTGCAAATATTTCCTACTAGTTTGTGACTTGTGTTCTTGTTATCATAACAGTGCCTTTTGAATAGCAGTAGTTCTTAATTTTAGTGAAGTACAAACAACTTTTTCTTTTACAGATTGTGCTTTTTATATCTTACCTAAGAAATCTTTGCCTACCCTCAAGTCACAAAGATTTCTAGAAATTTTATAATTTCAGTTTTACATTTAGGCCTGTGATTGATGAGCCTATATTAGCAAACTTCAGAAGGTATTTGAAAAAGGGTCTGATAATGGATACATTGAAAGAGGTCAGAGTTTATTTCCAGTAAAATACTGAAGATAGATTAGGAGGGCCATAGTTTCTGTGTATAGAGTCAAAAGTTAAGATTTTTTGCTAATTCAGAATTTATCTTTCAGAAAAAAATGGCAAGAAGTTCTAGGGATGATGGGGGCTGCTTTCCTTTCTGGATCCTCCCTTTGATAGATGTATCACCTTTATATAGTATAATATTTATGTGAAAGTGAAAGTGAAGTCGTGTCCGACTCTGCAACCCCATGGACTGTAGCCCACCAGGATCCTCCGTCCATGGGATTTTCCAGGCAAGAGTACTGGAGTGGGCTGCCATTTCCTTCTTCATAATATTTGTGCAGTAGTCTACAAATATGCCCTTTCAGTCTATAAATAATTTCACAGTCTTTGTTTTGCTTCTCTGCTCCTAAGAGGACCATTTGTTAAGCGCTTCAAAAAGTTAAGAGTTGGGAGGGAGATTTGTTTAATGTAACATGACAAACAAACCCTAAGTAGCATAACAAATACAGAGAGAGTTCATTGTGTGATCAGGATAATTATTAATTTGCAATGAATAACTTTTAACAATCACCCACCAATGTCCAGGATCTACCTGAACCAACAGAAAAATTATTCATCTTATGGAGTGAAGAAACTGGGATACTTCTTTCATTTTATGGGTTATCTTCTTCTATCTACCTTGAGCCACAGTTAAAGTTCATGAGCTATTTTATTCTTCCTTTTACAGAGGCAACGACAACTCGTTGGTTTGGGAAGCCCCAATGGCATTAGTTGCAGTAGGCCTTGTTCTAGAATTCCCACTGGTTTTACAATGGACTTTTCAAGTTAAAAACCAAAACCCAGTTCCAAGGATTAGAAAAAGGACATAAAGCCAAATGTTTGTTAGTTCTCTATATTGCAAAGCAGCTAACCAGCAAAAATGCTGTGTCAGGGAGGATCCATGTTTTACTTAGGTAACCTTTAGGCAAGGGAAGTTTTTATAGCATCTATCACCTTGTGTACTGAAGGCAGAGTAAGCAGCAGTCAGCGGACTTCAGAGACAATGCTAAAGTCTGTGCGTTAACTACTGGGTAGCCATGGGTCACCAGTGCAAAAGACATTTGACAGAGAAGCCAAGAGGCTCCTGAAATGCAGCAGTAAACTACAGTGGTAAGCTAGGTGAGGATTTAAGAATCCTACTACCAGCCCCGCAGTCTTTCATGCTCTAGACTTGAGGGTATTTACCTGGCAACTCCACACAGTCCCATACTCTTGTGGTCTTCACTCAGTCTATCTTGAATGCCACAAAATAACCTCCTTTTCTTCCCAGGCTAAGACTTCCCAGGGCTCTGTGGTCTCTATGAATTACATCCAGATTTACTTTGTTCACTATCAGTTTTGATGCAGCTATGGCCAGTCATGCTAGCATTCCTGAGCGTGGTCGAGGGCCCCACAGAGTCCTGTGGAGATGGCCAAGAGAACATCACAGGGCTCTTTCCACCTAGGTTCTTTATGGAAGTTCCTTTTCATAGACCTGTATCCTGCTGGAAAATATGTGTTAAATGGATTCTATGGTGACCTGGGCTGCAGAGGACCGCGGGACAGAGTTGAGAACCTGACAAGAGGAATGCAAAAGGCAAGGAAGACAGCTCCCAGGGCTGCAGTGACACTGCAGGTCGACACGGCTCGAGTCTCGAGATCTGGTTGGTTGATGAACTGCAGCATTAGCATTCATCTTGATCCTCAAAAGGGCTTCAGGCAATGTAAAGCCTCATTGTTGCTAAGTTTCGTTTAGTTTTGCTTAGTTGCATAGTGTTGCCACTAGATCACCAGAGCTTTGGAATTTGGAAGGGATATGTGGTTCGTAATTTATAAAAACATGTTTGAAAATTTGTCTCATAAAATTGAGAACATTAGTCTGAGTTAGGTATCAATCTATCTTTTCCCAGAGAAGAATGCATCTTTGGAGTCCTTCTGACTATGGTAGGATCTTCCTTCCAGGAGGGGTTTCCTCAGGCTACTCAGAGAATAAGCCTAACAACTCAGATCCAGTGGATGACAGCTGACACTTATATCATCTTTTTGGGGTGCTTCCCTCCATTACCAGTGACAGAAGAAGGGCAGTGCACTTAAGAAATAGACCAATAAATTGGAAAGTCCAGGTCAAGCCTAGCATTTTTTATTCTATCATGCTCCTTCATCTGACTATGCCCTAGGACGACAGCTCAGATAGGAAGGAAAGAGGAGGAGAGGCCTGGGACTAGTGTTGCCCATCCTAGTGGAGGCTATAAATAGGTGGCACAGGAGAGCAAGCTGCCAGTGTGTGGGCAGCCTTTTCTGTATGAGGCCCCATTTTCTAGGCTCTTCGGTGGTTCTTACATTGGAAAGAGACAAGGGGCTACAGACCAGAACAGGAAGCATATAAACATATTCATACAGTGGCCAGTTTTGTCTCAAGCATTTCCCTTTATGTACTTCAACTTCTTTAACCCATAAAGCTTTCCTGGGAAGAAATTCATACTTATAAATCCAATACTCTAAACTTTAAATATTAGGAGTCTAAAGGCCTCCAAATGTTCCAATATCAAGAATAATTTAATAAGATTTCATCTTAAAAAACACACATTGCTCAAACATTTCAAACCAGTTACAAAGCTGGCATTCTACTAGATCGAGATCACCCTTACTGTAATAAATTTATAAAATATCAAATATCAAAGTAAGTAAGCCACTTACTTACTTCACACAAAAATGTTAATGCTAATGGGTCTTTTCGTTAACTATTCCTATGCTTTATTCTAAAGCTTTCCAGGTTAAAAAATACTTATGCACCTAAGGCAGACAGTTATCATACCAGTTTCTGCTAGCAGACTCTTGGGCTGAGAGGAGGAGAAGCTTATTTGAGAACCCATGGGCAACACTAGATTCTATATATGGTTATGTTAATCACTGCATAACATCAAAGGGGTAATAATTGGATGAAATAGTATATAATATATAATATCTTGGATTTGCTTTAAAATACTCCAGGGGGAAAAAAAGTTAATATGAAAATATATACCTAAATATATAAATGTGGGCATGATCATCTAGTCTATTTCCCTGTGTTCAAGTTTTTTTTTCCTATTTTTTTAAATTAACAAGCAAAATAATAATTAAAAAACAACAACACAACAACAAAAACCTTAAAGTTGGAACTGCAATAAGTCAAACTGCTGCCGGAGTTCACAGATGTACCTGGGGTACATGCTCCCTCATTGCAAGGCAGGACCTAGGCACATAACTGTGCATGTAGGTATGTAGGTGACCAGGAAGAGTTAAAGAGGTGGAAACCCCTGGAGAACAGAAAGCATGAAAAGCTTTTCATCAGGCAATTCCAAAGCACTCTGCTCTTTTCCTCTTCTTTGCCTCTGTATCCTCTGTGGTTCCTGTTCCAGCTGAATTTGTGACAATCCCAAATCGCTCCTTCCTCTTTTTCAGCTTTTCCTCATCCTCCGACTTTCTGGAGATTGAAGAGACATTCAAAGCAAACCTTTGAGCTCTTTCTTTTAGCTTATCCAGGTTAACCATAGGCTTGGTGTCAGACGACAGACCTTTTGATGGAACTGGAGAAATCCCAAATCGAGCTGCCCGGGCAGCTTTCTTACTCTCCAAACTCACAGGTACATTGAATCATTCAGCTCTCTTCTGCATCCTCTCAGTCTGTGGTATTTCAGATGTAATTTTTACCACTTTTTTCTCTGCTCCACATCAACAGTTTTTTCAGGAGGCTCTTCCTCTTTGACAGGCAGTTCTAAGGGCTTTGGTTCTTCTCCTCTGTTTCATCTCCCATTACATCTTCTTCATTTGCCTCCTCTTCAGCATGCTCTTCAAGATATGCCTGGAGCCTGTTGATGAGATCTTGTTTTATTCCCTTGGTCTCCAAACCACGAGCAAGACACTCCTGCTTTAGTTCAGCAAGCTTCAGCTTATGAAGCTCTACCGTCTCAGTCGCCATCTTGTTACCCCTCCCTATTTTAATTTTATTTTTAAATTTATTTTATTTATGTATTTTTCTCCTTTATTTATTGTTTTATTTTATTTTATTTGTGTATTTTTTTTCTCCCTAAAACTCCACAGCTCTTAGCCACATTGATTACTTGACTAAGTTTTTAAATTCTAAGATACATAAACATATATGTTTGTGAGCTAAGTCGCTTCAGTTGTGTCTGACTCTTTGCAACCCTATGAACTGTAGTTCGCCAGGTTCCTCTGTCCATGGGATTCCCCAGGCTCTAATACTGGAATGGATTGACATGCCCTTCTCCAGGTATCTTCCTGTCCCAGGAATTGAACCTGTGTCTCTTAGATCTCCTGTGTTGCAATTTCTTTACCATTAGCGCCATCTGGGAAGCCCAAATATACATGTTTAGATATGGAAATACCTTTACATAAATATCTGTAGAGACCACTGAAGACCTAATGGAAATGTGCATTCTTTCATATTCATAGAAATATGCAACATTTGAGGATCTTGAAAATTATATCCATTTGGATTTTTAATATTTCGCAAGGTTTTCTTCTGACTCAATGGCAGAACTTACAGATTCATGATACTACATTCCCTTTGGATCAGAAAATGTCTTCTAATTGCTATTTTTAACAGTTTCTGTATTCTTCATGACACTAATAAATGCATTACTTAATTAAATAATTAAGTAGATAATAATTAATATCAACACGATTGAGTAGTAAACTCAATGGTAATGTTCAACAGTGTTTCTACTTGAATTCTTGATTCTGTGATTGTACTTCCTTTACTTTTATACTGAAAATGTTGATTCCTAAAATAATACACATAATCAGTACTATGTTTACTTATATCTAGCGCAAGAAAATAATTTAAAAATACAACATTAACATGGCCAATAAAGCTACAGGATTAAGTCTAATATTTTTTATGCAGTTTCCTTTTTTTTAAACTGTCTCCCAAAGTGTCATCCTCATTAAGTATGTGTAGGCAAACCATGTTCTGGAGCTGCACTGTCCAATACAGAAGCCACCAGCCATATGTGGCTATTGAGCAATTGAATGTCCAAATTGAGAAGTGCTGCATGTATAAATCACACACCAGATTTCAAAGACCTAGCACAATAAAAGAATGTAAATATCTGTCTTAAATCTTAGATAATTATTAAATCAATAATTTAATATTGATAATATCCTGAAAATATTTTCATTATTTGGGCCTTGACTAGCAAGCAGGACTCCCCCATGACTGGGACTCTAGTAGGCAGAAGATGAAGAAACCACTCATTCATGCAGATGAAATTTGTCCTCCAGCACCCCCTACTGACAGAGTTCAACAGTGAGCCTGATGACAAGGAAGAAATGTGACACCACAAGCAAGGCAGTGAAGGGTGGATTTGGAATAAGGAGATATTAAGTGACAACTGGCACACCTTCTCTAAGGAGGGCTTGCTCTTTTGCTTTCACGGACTTCTTAGAGGTAAATAAAAGACAAAGAGTTTCACCAACAGCCTTAATGAGGTTTTGCAACCTCTGCTGGGTGGCCATTTCCTTGTTTTCTCACAGGTCTCTGATTCAGTCTGGCGATGATGAGAGTTTCTTTGTTTGCCTTAAATATTTTGTGAAATTATGGTCCCAGGAGCAGGCTTGGAACTTCTGGGCCATCATCTGGTATCACCAATCCCAAATTATACAAAAGAGGGACCAAAATGTTTTACATTAATCTACTGAAAGGATGTTGGGAGTTCCCTTCCTGATCCAAACAGAAGCATCAATAGAACATTTATCTAACCTACGGGGAAAGAGTGTACATCTGATTTTGAGGAGTCTGAGAGGAGAGGGTTACAGCAGTGGTCAAACAGATAGACCAACGGGTTTAACTTAACGATGCTTGCCAGAAGCAACAAAGCCTTTCTGGAAAGTAAGCCAGCCAAGGACAGAACTTAGGTACAGCACTGCCAGGAGTAGAAGGCAAGGGAGGAGAAGATAAAAGTAAGGCATGAAGGGATCTCATGAGCTTTGCTGCTTCATCCTACATTACACCTTCTGCTCTTCTTCCATGTTGCTCCTTATCCTGTTGATGAGGCCAGACTTTCAGGGGTGGCAGAGTCACTGACAAAATTCCAAGGTAAGATGTTTTCACATGTAGGGACTACATTGCAGAAGAAAATATGGGAGAGAATGGGGTCATGGAAGATGAGCCTGTGGCCTGACTCCTCCTGCCTCTCCTCACGTTCCCTGGGGGACCTTATATTCGAGAGACCACCACTTCAAGCTTCCGCCATGTCCCGTCCTATGTCCCTTTTGCCCCTTGGTTGGCACACAGGGAGGCGACTTAAAGAGGAAAGCCACGCTGAGGGAGGACAGAGTGCAAGGGGTTGGTAGTCATGAGGCCTTTCTAGTCCCAACTCTGAAACTGACACATTGTAGGAATAAGGCCCCTCTGGGCCTCAGGGTCTCTATCTGTAAAGTTAGAGCTGTTCCAACTCCAGGGCCCTATCAGAAAAATCAAAGGATGAAAGAGGTGACAGAGCCAGGATTTGGGGAAAAGGTGAAGAGAATAAACAGCTGACACAAAAGCCCTTGGTCTGATCTCCTGGTATTAGCACTGAGGAAGGTGACTCACTCTGGCCCACCCAGAACTGCCCATTATTCCTGGCCCACCACTCCCATTTTCTCCTCTGACCTCTTGGGAAGGCAAATTGTGGTAAGTCACGGACATAAGACACAGCCTTAGTCATCAATTCAGTAGAAGCTACTAAGAGTCACATGGATCACTTATTTGCACTTTGTGAGCTAATCTTGTTCCAAAGCTGCATGAATTCTGCCACACCTATGTGGACACAGAGATGGTAATTTCCCTGTGCCTTGCCTCTACCAAAGCCCAGGTTCACAGCCTTCTAGGTACTTTGCATTGATCAAACAGCATATCTTATACATTCAACCTCTGTAGCCCTGTCACCAACCCTCATCTCTTGTTCTCGCCATCCAAAGCTTGCCCATTCTTCCACCCTGCTTAAGTTGGTTATCCCCAGACCAGCTCTGTTAATTCCACACTATCAGATGGCTTGATGTCCCTGCCCTCAAGACTGTTCTACCTCATAGTGTTCTGACTGCCTGTCAATAAATGTGTCTGTGGAGACTGTAACAAAGATATTACTCATTTAGTCAGGTATTATATACAGTGATGGGCCAGCCCTTATATTATCCTCCTGTTTTATTTAGTCCACACCACCAAAATGGTAGGTACTTCACAACATAATTTTATTTTCTAACACAATGCTGTTTTCAGAGGTTTCTAGAGAAAGAGTTTACATTCTGGCTTGAAAACCTTCCTTCCTACACTGTATTCCTGACAAAAAACCTCCAGAAATACCCTAATGAGCCCCCAAAATCATTGGTCTTTAATCCTAAATTAGATGGAATAAAATATCTAACTGAAAAAAAAAAGAAAAAATCTAACTGGCGTGTGGGATGAATTTACCTCTCCAAATCTCATATCCTCAGATCTTCCCAGAACATTCACATATAGGTGGGCTCTGGGAAAATAACAGCCCTCAGAAAAATAATTCATTTTGTTTCCCCCAGAAGTGACCCCTGTACAGTCAACCTGATCTGACTTTCCTTACCTAATATACTGTGACCTAGCCTAGTGAAATTAAAGTGTATGACTAGAACACTTTTCCTTCCTTGTTGACTTTACGCATATTCTTTCAGGTGTATAGATTATTTTATGAGGAAGACTAAACAGTGTATGGTAGCAAAAAGGCAATTCAGCTTCCCCTTACCACCCCAAATTAGCAAACAACCATCATAAGTCCTGACTGGGGAGTGTTGGGCTTTCTCCCTGTGGGTGAGAGTAACCAAGTGGAGGCTGGGTGATCGGTGGCCAGAGGATTCTACACTGATTCACAGCTGGAAATCAGGAGTCCTGAGTGTTATTCCAACCTCATAACTCAATGAGTCTCTTTCCTATGCATAGAGAGAGAGAGAGAGAAAGTGGAGAAGTCCGACTATTACAGCACTTGTATTGGCACTTCAGCAGATCTTGGATTAAAGGTGTCTCGTGCACATATACTGTCTTTTCAACTAAGTTATAGGTCCCCAGAGGCAGAGTCCACTGCCTTTCTTTATAGTGCCTTTATAGGTTCCCAGAGGCAGAGTGCATTGCCACTCTTGACAGTACATAGCCTAGGGTTCACTGTTTAAAAGGTATTCAATGACCCCCCCCCCAAATTCTCTCATCCTTTTAATGGCATGCTTTAGAGTTACTCCTGAATACTCCATATTCAGGGATATGGAGATACAGTGAAGACTTGGTCCCTGCACAAAAGAAACCCCGTAACATCAGTGTGTAGAAAGACTGACTTGTAATGAAGGCTATCTCATAGTTATGGGTGTTGGCATATCCAGAAATCACAATTATGGGAGACAGAAGTTCAAATGAGAAAACTGAACATTCTTGCTTGTGAGATGGATGAAGAAATATTTGACAGATGAAATCCTCTGAACCTGGGGATGAACTGGGACTCAAAGGATGAACAGTGTTTTACCAGGTAAGAAGTGAATACCTAAAAACTTGGATGGAACACCCCAGTCAGTGATAGCACGATACACCAGGATACACTTTGTTTTCAGGTGCACATGGAGCATTCTCCAGGGTAGACCACATGTTAGCCCATAAAACAAATCTCAATAAATTTAAAAGAACTCAAGTCATACAAAGTATGCTCTTCAGCCACAATTGAATTAAATTAAATCAACAACATTAGGGAATTTAGGGAATTCACAATTATGCAGAAATTAAACAACACACTCCTAAGTAACCAATGAGTCAAAGAAGTAACAAAGGAAACTATAAAATACTTTGAGATGAAAGACAGCTAAAACAAAACATACAAAATTTACAGGATATAGCAAAAGAAATGCATAGAAGGAAATGTATAGCTGTAAATGCCTATGTTAAAAAAGAAAAAAGAGGGACTTCACTGGTAGTCCCATAGTTAAGACTCCATGCTCCCACTGCAAGAGGTGTGGGTTCGACTCCTCATCAGGGAACTAAGATCCCACACGCCTCTCATTATGGCCAAAAAAACCCAAAATGAAATCTATTAAAGTTAAAAAGAAAAAAAAGGAGACTTCCCTGGTAGTCCAGTGGCTAGGACTCCTCACCTCCAATGCAGGGAGCCTGGGTTCAATCCCTGGTTAGAGAACTAAGATCCCATATGCCTCGGGGCAACTTAAGCCCATGCACCACAACTAGAGAATCCGCTCATTGCAATTACTGAGACCACGTGCCACAACTAAGATGCAATAGAGCCAAATAAATAAATTTAATAAAGAAAAGACAAAGTACAACCTGGGTGGGAAGAGATGCCCTTCCCCAGCTTCAACGAAGAACAGAGGCACAACCTGGACCATGTGGGGCCTGATGGAATAATGGTGCCTAGCTTATCACTAAGTGATAGGAGATGGGACAGAATCCCATATAAACACCACAGTGAGCATGACAATTGACTCATGAGAACAGCAACGTAAAGGAGACACAACACAACTATGATCACAGGGATGAGAAGAGATTTAAGAGTGGGATACGATAGATATATCAAGAAGATCCTAGCTTTCTTCATGGGGATAGACTGGAGCAAAACTCTTCTGCTACCTTTTCTATTATTAGATGTGCCTCCCTTACTCTTCCTCTCTGAGTGGGGCCCCAAGAAACTCAGGTTACACAGAATACAAAGCAAAATGTTAGAAATGACTCAGGAAAATACAAAGTGCTAGGGAACGGCAGTGTGTTTCAAAAGAAAAAGGAGTAGCGTCAGGGAATTCCGTGGTGGTTCAGTGCTTAGGATTCAGTGCTTTCACTGCCATGGCATGGAATCAATTCTGGGTTGGGGAACTAAGATCCTGCAAGCCACACAGTGTGATAAAAAAAAAAAAGAAAAACAAAACAGGGTAGCATCAGTTTAAAGATCAGGAAAGATTTTATTCACAAAAGTAGTGGCAAACAAAGGTGAAAGGATATGAAAGACTTTAAAAATTATTTTCTGATCACAATAATAAAATAAATTTAGTTTGAAGAATACAGAAAAACAGAGAAAAAATGAAAATTGCAAATTATTATTCTACTACTCAGATAAAACCATCATTAATACTTAAGAGGTATAGTTTTCCTCATCTTATTTGTATCTGTGTCTATAAATATTTATAGGTAACATGAATATAAATATCTATAAATATAGACATACAGATATGAAAGTGCATGTGTTTGTGAATATATACATACATATATAGACATAGTTATAGACATAACTACACAAACACATATATTTCATAGATATATATGCAGATATATATCTAGATACAAAGATATAAGTACACGTATATTTCAAAACAAAAGTTGTGATTGATAACGATTCTAACAGTGGAAATGGAAGGTAACAAAGAGACCAGGCACAAAAAGGAAAATAAAGCACAGACAGGCAATGGAACCTTCCAGAAAGGGTATGAGCTAAACAAGACTAGATTCAAATCCTGCCTCTGCTTCTATGGAAACATAAGCACCTTACTTATCCATGCTGAACCTCAGCTTTCTCATGTGTAAAATGAAGACAATATTTACTTGATCAAGCTGTTTTAGCAATCAGACACTTGAAAACATCAGGAATGAAGCATCCTGCCCAGAGAATGGGAGATGCTGAGCGTGTGCTGGTGTTGTACAGCAGGCTTCTGGGTAGCTGCATGCGGTGTTGCCTGCTTCTTTTTTTTTAATATGGACCATTTAAAAGTCTTTATTGAATTTGTCACAATATTGCATCTGTTTTATGTTTTGGCTTTTTGGCCACAAGGCATGTGGGATCCTAGCACCCCTGACCAGGGATCAAACCCACAGCCCCTGCATTGGAAGGCAAAGTCTTAACCATTGAACCACCAGGGAAGTCCCTGGTGCTGCTTACTTCTAATGTAAGATACTTACAGATAAGAGGGAGGCCAGGGACACTCTCTCACATTTATGAGCCCTCAATTCATTAAGTCACCAAGACAAACAGATGGTATGGTAAATTCAGTTCAGTTCAGTTCAGTCGCTCAGTCGTGTCGGAGTCTTTGCGACCCCATGAATCACAGCACGCCAGGCTTCCCTGTCCATCACAACTCCGGAGTTAACTCAAACTCATGCCCATTGAGTCGGTGATGCCATCCAGCCATCTCATCCTCTCTCGTCCCCTTCTCCTCCTGTCCCCAATCCCTCCCAGCATCAGGGTCTTTTCCAATGAGTCAACTCTTTGCATGAGGTGGCCAAAGTATTGGAGTTTCAGCTTCAGCATCAGTCCTTCCAATGAACACCCAGGACTTATCTCGTTTAGGATGGACTGGTTGGATCTCTTTGCAGTCCAAGGGACTCTCCGGAGTCCTCTCCAATTACATACCATAAAATTCTCCATTTTAAGGTGTACAATTCAGTGGTTTTTAATATATTCACAAAGTTGTATAACCATCACCTTTAATTCCAGATCAATTCCATTTTCATCATGTCCAATCTGGGTGATACCCATTAACTATCATTCCCTATTGCCCTTTGTCTCGTCACCTCCCACCTCGTCCCCTTACCAGCCCGAGGCAAGCAATAGCTCAGAGATCACAATGATTCCAGATCCCAGCTATACGAAAGTTCAAATTAGCCAGAAGTGGTCATAGGTCTTTTTAAACTGTTGGTGAACTCCCCTTGAGCAACAGCTTACCTAATTTCACAAGCAATCACAATCTGCACAGGACACAATATTTAGCCATCTCACAGCTTGCAATTTCCTTCTAATCAGCCATACTATACTAGGCAACAGAGCAAGGTTATGAGCTCATTTTATCTAGTTATTTTAATACTCATCACTCTCAGAAAACCCTTCTGACACTCATAAAACAAAACAGCAGGAGGACTTTGACGGCTAGCACTTGTCTGCTGATTCATGACTGAACTTAGGTCAGGCAGATAATTTTTCTTTTCTGGTTTTTCCTGAAACAGGACAGGCATGTCCCTGTCCCTGAACAAAAGCATCAGCATAGGGAGAGTAATGAGGGCCACCAATTTGGGTGAAGTGTCTATTTGCAAAATCCATTTTTCTCTCAGAGTTATAAAATAACTGTCCATTGTCTCTGGCAAAGGAAACCACTATCCTGTCTCTAATGAGATACAGATCTAATTTAGACATCAGCTACATTCATGAGCCCTCAATTCATTAAGTCATCAAGGCAAACAGATGGTTCCTTGCAATCAGTGTGACAGCAAAATGACTCAGAGAGTGGAGATCAGTCAATAAAAACCTATTTGCAGTTTCACTGAGTGTGGCAGTGCGTTCCAGAAGAGGCACCTCGTTCTAAGAGAATTATCAGACTTGTAAAATTAGCCCTAAGTCACCACTGGGAGACACACACAAAAAAGAGTGCGGGAAAGCAGAGTACCCAAGGCAGCTGGGGAGAGGAGAGGGGAGTTCTGAAAGGGAGACTGTCTATGGGGTGGTGATCAAGAAAATAAGAAGCCACAGGAGCCCACAGCCCCTGCCCGGCTACCGCACTCCAGTAGCAGAAATACAGCCAGAGTTACTAAACTCCGGTACTCACCTCTGCAGAGAAAGTCTTGAGTCATTCAACCAACACTTTCCATGTGCAGGATACCACCAAGTACTGTCGGTGGAAACGTAATGGAGGTTCTGCTGCCAGGATGCTTGCAACCCAACGTTCATGCATAACCACGGACTCTCCATCATACCAAGTACCAGGAGCCAGCTGGGGAGCCCGGGTAGAAAATCACATTTATCCTTTCTAGAAGAAAGAGCTGTTTACCTGTGGTAAACAGAAAGCTTTTTGCTTCCAGTGGTCCATTCTTTCTTTGTGTAATCTAGTCAAATTACCTGTATAAATACAAATAATAAAAATTAGTCAACTTTTCACTTACATAGTTTATATAAGATTATAAATTTTCTAATTTTTAAAATCAAGATATAAACTACCTAAAACTGAATGCTAAAGACACCAAATTTTGTCTACTCACTCTCTACCAAAAGACATATTTAATAAATTATATGGGATATAAAATTACATCAAATTTTAAGACAAAATGGTTGTGCTGCTAATTCCAAATCCAACCATTTCCAACACAAGGGAAAGAGGCAGGTGGCCTTCAGCTCAGCTAGAGAAGTTACATACCCACCACCCCACCTTCCCCTCTCCCTACCCACCACGCACCCCAAATAACTAGTAGGAAGAACAAAAAGGAATTCTGAGGAGCTGCAGTGAATCCAAGATCCAGTTTTTAGTGACAACCGCACGGCTTTTTGTTAGAAAATACTGTCAGTGAAAAGTCTTGCATCAAACCTAGAAGGACGCATGTGTATTTCCTTATTTGAGCTGTTTTAAGTGCTTTCTTGTGTAAATAATCCTCTTGACATCACTGTATACAGAAATCAGGCAAATTTTGGCCAGTTTGGTCAGAGCACATTACTGAGATGAAGACACATCTGATCTCTGCCACAGTTCTTTAGAGCGCTGGCCCCTTGTCATTCAGTTATCTGTCCACATGTCACTGGCTGCATGTACACAAAAGCAGAAGTAGCATCAGGGATTTACCCAGGTTTCATGGTTGGTTAATGGGGTGGAAAGCAGGTTTTCCAATCAAGTCAGAGAATTTAAGAGAAAGTACAGGCATATGAGGAAGGGGTATCCAGAGCAGCGGGGAGGACATGAGAGAGATAATTAAGTTCAGTTACAGCCATCTTACAGAGTCTAGAATTTTCTGACGGCCTGGACCCTGGTCAAGGCTCCTTGAGCACTGGTCTGTATGGACTATTTACTGCTTTAAAGCAGCAGGCCTTGCCAAGGTAGTAGAGGAATGACGCTACTGCATGAAGCTGCCTTCCATATCCTTAAGACCTAGAATATGGCCTCAATACTAAGAAGATTACTTCTGGCAGAGAAATGCTGATAGTCCCTTTCTAATGCATCCAACTTCAAATAACTCAAACGCATTCAGCTCTTATAAACATCCAGCTCCAAAACCTTCAAGGACCACCTAACACAGTACTGTCCAAGTTCTTTTACTAGCATTAAAGGTCCTCCCCGTTGAGCTTACTTTCCATTACTCTCTGACTGTGCTTTAGTCACACATGTTTGCCTTTTCCCCACCCATTGTCCTTCACACAAGAGCTACAATTACACCATCTACCTCTATTCCTCTGCCCACTGTTTCCTTTTCTGGAACTTATTTACACACTTCCAACTTATTTACACACTAGTCATCCTTCACACTTCACACATTCAAGCCCCAGTCCCAAGAAGCCTACTTTGAAATAGCCCACTCACTATGATATCTACCTGGATTTCCATTCAAAGACTTCTCACAGACTGTTTTTGATGTTTTTTCTACACCTATTCCTTTGACCTAATCAGATTATAAATTACTTCAGGGAAGGAACTGACTCTAATTTCTGAGTCCAGTACAGTAACAGGCACAATGTACATGTCCAGTATCTGGTGATCCTGACTCTCATTTCTATTTTTAAAACACTCATAGATACTCAATTTTTCTCAAAAGTCTTAAGATTTGAGACAAAATGCCACAAAGATCACACAATATTTTTTAAGGATGTCAAAAACTGGATTATGTAGCTCTAAGCTGAGCCGTAACCTAAATAGACGTCTGAGTTTAGAAGCCCATTTCTTTTATAGTGGATATGATCATATGTGGACAACTACTTGGAGCCTGAAAAGTTAGAGAGACTCTCTAAGAGGGGAAATGAGCCAAAACTGGCAGACACTTACTGCGCTACCTTTCTATAAACTACATGTAGATTAATTTAATACATGAGGACCTAAATTTTTTTGTCTTCTGTATTATTCTTTGAAATGACAGAGTAAGGAGAATGAAATAATACATGTTGTATGTTAATAATAATAATGTCTGTACTACAAAAAATTTAATAGTTTAATCAGTTGTCACTGTTGTTTTCTTATGATACTGAATAAAGTATAGCAGAATAATCTTTTAAAAATCTTCTGCATCATCTGGTAGTTATCATTACCATTTACCAAGATTTTGGTTTCTACATACTACTCAGAAAGAGATCATTTCTTACACAAATAGGGCAGAGTCTGCCTCTTTCCGCACAATGCATACTACAGGAATTTTTAAAGTAATAGCTTACACTTTATATTTGTTTCCTCATTAATCACTACTACTGTTATCCTCATTTTACAAAGGGAGAAAGTGAAGTTCAAAGTCATCATGGTTAGTATATGGCCAAGCTGGGACTAGCACTGGTCTGCCTGACCCCAAATCCCATTCTCTAGAAATCAGTAAATAAACTTAACACTATTTTGACTCAAAGAATGGGCATGGTCATCGCTGCAGTTAGCCTTTGTATTTCCAGAATTAACGGACTTGACGACTTCTGCATTACTTATGAATATGGCTTTCATATTCAAATCTCAGGTTCTCTTATTTTCTTAAATATTTATTTGGCTGCACTGGGCCTTTCATGCTGCATATGGAATCTAGTTCCCTGAGCAGGTACTGAACCCAGGTCCCCTGCTTTGGGAGCACAGACTCTAAGCCACTGGACCACCAGGGAAGTCCCTCTTTTATTATTTTAATTATCCTAAATGAACTTCTAATCTTCCGACTTATCTTTCGAGCTCTTTGTATCCGTTGTCGCCTCTTTTAACATTATCAAGGCCCTCCAGAGCTCAAAGATAGTGTTCAGGGAGATACCGCCAAGAACCTGACAAAACACGTGCCTGCAAGGAGCTGAAAGCACTCCACACGACCAAGGTAAGTTTTTACCGTACTCATAATAAATGTTTCCTGAAGCGGAAGTGAAAGCTAATCAGTCGTGTCCGACTCTTTGCGACCCCATGAACTATACAGTCCATGGAATTCTCCAGGCTAGAATACTAGAGGGGGTAGCCTTTCCCTTCTCCAGAGGATCTTCCCAACCCAGGGATCGAACCCAGGTCTCCCGCATTGTGGAAGGATTCTTTACCAGCTGAGCCACAAGGGAAAGTTTTCTACCTGTGTCTGAATTATGAGACTTTTTTGACAAAAGATTTTCAAGATCCTGAGCCTATGACACTGAGCTTCTATCTGCAGGGTAGAGCACTTGGCAGTCTGCCTCGTTTCATAGTTATATCCAGAGATTCTAGTTTAGTTAGAAAACAGTTCTCATGTCAGTGCTTGATGCTTTGCACCAATTCGCCAGGTAGTTACCGAGTGATCTACGGACAATTTAGGGGTTCTGGCCCTGGAAGTTCACCGTTACAAGGTGCCTGTGACTTCTTTCCTCAAGCAAACCACGCCGGTGAGTATGGAGTCACCCGCGCTTGTAATGAATGGCTGCCTCCGACTAGAGTGTAAGCGCCAAGCTCAGAGGCCCATAGAGCCTATTCGCGGCCGATAACTGCCAGGGCATGAGTGTGAATCCAGCGCCCTAAAGCAGCCGGCGGCCTCTAAGGCAGGAACTTGCTCCCTCTTCACCCGCAGCCTCTGAAGGACAGCCGCGGTTTGAGGCCTCTCAGCCTCAGTCCCGCCCCGCTGCGTTCGCTGATGCTCGCTGCTGCCCCCTCCCAAGAGGAAAACAGCGAAGCTAATGTCAAGTTCCGCCCGGCCAAAGGCCGAGAAGCACCCTCGAACGTCCTCCCCCGTACCTAAGAGGCCGACTTCCCACCTCTGATGTAATCCGTATGTAAGAGCCAGGGACGAGAAGTCACCGCCCGCGCACGTCGCCCCAGCCAATCCGGGGCTCCCTCCATCGCCCCACCCATCGCGTACACGCACGCACGCACCCATCCACCCGCCCCGACCCACGCGTGACAGTTGCTGGCTTCTAATTGGCTGAACCCGGACGTAGGCGGGACCAAGAGAAGCCGGCTGCACGGCGGGTGCGGGAGTGGGGTCAGAATCCGGTAGGAACCTGAAACGTCTTGAAGTTGTCTGTAAGTGATGCAGGCGGGCTTTGGGGGTCGAGTGACTCCGGGCGGTGGAGTGGGGAGAAGTGAGGCCGCGTTGAGAGCACCTTGGGAGTGTTGGCGGTCGCGGGACTGGGAGAGGGGGCTGATGCCTAGGCTGAAAGGGGCGAAGTCTGGTTGGCGGGCGCAGGCCTCATTCCGTGGTGCCGGGGAGGGCTGGTGAGAGCGTACGGAGCCTATGAGGGGATGCCGAAAAGGCTTGTAGAGCGAATCGCGGCTGAACTGGAAGGCTCGGGGATGCATCTGGGGAGGCGCCGGGCTGGGGCCGACTTCGCGGAGCCCGTAGGCCCGAGCGTGTCCGGGAGTTCTTTGAGAGTGGGGTAGGTGAGGAGGGATTGGGAGGGCGTGCGGTCCGGCCAAGGAGTCCTGACAAGGTCACAGGAAGGGAAAGGGGAGGAAGGTTGAAGGGTTGAGGGGAGGGCGTAAAACTACACGACCTTCCCGCCATCGGCTTCCTCTTCTACCCGGGCCGGTATTCCCTTCCACCTTTGGCGACTGTCCTCCGCCCCAGGAAGGTAAGAAAGACCAGGGCCTCTATCAAGCGCCTCTGACGGAATTTACATTTTTTCCTCAAAAGTAAACCTGCCAAGTTAGAGGTTACAAAACGTAGTACATGATTAGAATTGGGAGCAGTCGAAATGATTCGGTAGGTTTATTCGCCTGTTTTATTTTACCGGTGGGGGAATCAGTTATTCCCCTCTTATGGATGGAATCTGTGCTTCCAGAAGTGCCTGGGATGAAAAGTTGTGATGTATAAGTGGTACCAGGCCCTAGCATGACAATCGTATTTGAGTTTTGTACACCAGTTGTTCTCTTGATTCCCTGTGCACCAGCATCTCTTGAATGGATCTTCTTAAAATACGGATTCCTTGGGACCTGCCCCAGACCATCT